CAGAAAGGGGATGGTGGGCGCCATGGGCTGGGGTTGGGTGGGGTGGTCAGTGTTTAACGGGGACAGAGTTTCAGTTTGGGAAGATGGAAGAGTCTATGGATTCTGCTTGCACAACAGTATGAATCTGCTTGATGCTGCTCAACTGTGCACTTAAAGGTGGCTAAAATGGTCAGTTCCTTCTTCTGTATATTTTACCATAATAATGAATTTTTAGAAAGGGCAGGCAGGCAAATGGGATTGGTCTGGAGGCTCTTCCTGCCCCTGAACTAGCTGATGGGGCAATGGCTGAAGGTGGCCCCTATTCAGCAAGGCAGCTTCCTGACACGGGGAGACCCCTGTTCTCATCTCTCCCAGGCCGGGGGGGCCGGGGGAAGGCGGGTGTCTGCAGTCGGCCTGCCCCTGACCTACCCTGCGGGATGCCAGAGTCAGGCTATCGGGTACCAACCGGATCACTGCACTTTTTCTGTAGCATGGTTCCCACCCTGCCCAGGGCCCTGGTGCCGTGTGTTCTGACATTTCTCTTGTCCCCCTCTCTAGACGGTGCCGGCACGCAGGTGGAGCTCGCCAGACCGCTGGGGATGGCATACTTCCAGCCCACACCCTGCGGGTGTGCTGGGTGGGCCTGGCCTCTGGATGGAGATTCCCAAGGGCTGCCCCAGGGGGCTGTGTGGAAGGGCAGGCCAGGCCACTGACTTTGTTTCCTGCCCGCCTACCTCCAGGGCCATCTCCTCCATTCTGGGCACCTGGCTGGACCAGTACTCAGAGGACTTCAGTCAGCCCGGACGTTCCCTGCCTCAAGCAGCTGGTGGCCCATGTGCAGCTCAACATGCCCGGTTCTGACCTCGAGCCCCGTGCCCAACTTCTGATGGCCCAGCTGGAGCACACAGAGAGACGCAGGCCGAGCCCGAGGATGAGAAGACCGGAGGTGGGTGCCTGTGGGTGTGAGGGGAAGGGTCGGGGCTGGCCCCACAGGGAGGAGCCCCAGAGGCTGGTGTGGGGGCAGGAGCAAAGACTGGGCACCAAGCAGGGGGACGGAAGTTGGGGAGACGTCCCGGGGAGGGCTCCTTCCTGGCTGCAGCTTCTCTAGGAGGCCCTGGGCTGGGCTCTGTCTTGCAAAGGCCCGCGGAGAGCAGGCAAGGGCTGAGCTTTTCTTCTCCTCTCTCAGCCGCTCCACCATCTGAGGAGCTAGAGCGACTCCATCTGCATCACTAGCATGTGTGAGGAGCCAGGTGCAGGGACAGAAGCCAGGCTAGCTTCCATGGGGCTCTGCAAACACAGGAACTGTCACTCAGCTCGGAGGCATCACAGCCCTGCTCGACGTCCTCACTGTCCCCCTGCCCAGTCCCCTTGCTGCTCCCAG